CATATATTCGATCATAGGTTAGCAGGAACAGAAAAACCAAGCTATCAAAATAAACTTCTCAAAGCATGGTAATTGCAACAAATTTTTGAACAAGGATAACAGGATAAGGAACAAAGCCAAATCATCAAATAAACTACTCAAGACCATGATTATTCCAGCAAATTTAATCTCATAAATCTCATTTCAAGAAATTTATAAGAATAAACTGATCTTCTCCAATAAGCATCATATATCCATGGGTCTAGCTTTTTTTTTTTAAATAAAATTGTGCTCAATGTTCAAGAATCACTAATAACGTAAACAAAAAGTGGGGGTCAAATTCTCAGATAGATCGAGACAGATTTTAAAAACTCATTTGATAATGCTCTTGAAAATCCTTTAAAAGGGCCAAAGAAGAAGAGAAGAACTTACCTCCGAATGTTTCCAGAGGGTTTAAGAAACTTTAGAAAGAATAAGCGAAACAATATCCAGATCCCATGAATGAAAGAAGATAATACAGAAAGGAAATGCCAACCAACTGAACTCCTTCCTCAATACACGAAAAGAGATCAAACCCGGAAACTCTGTCCGAATAGCCCACAAAGAAAACCTTAAGCCAAGAAAACAAATTCTCAGATCGTTTTAAAGAAAAACCTTAATCCTTCTCCAGAGGGGGTATTTTTAGCCAAGGGAATTAGGAGTGGTCGTCGATAAGACTTACACATTTGGACAGGAAAGTTTGTTAAAAAAATGGGTTACCAATAAGACGACTGGCGGCGAAAGTCAGTTAAGGCCGGCGAGGAAAGAGATAACCGGAGAATCTGAAGAAGCTTCGAGATCCGGTCAGGAGAAGGGAGTAGGAGGAAAAAGTCTGGTTAGGGAAGAATGATTTCGAGAGGAGGGGAGGAACGTGTGTGAGAGTTTAGATTTAGGAATTTTAAAACCCTTTTATTAAAAAAATATTTTATTATTATTATTTTATATTATTTTTTTTAAAGAAAATATCAAAATTTCGTGCAAGCGTAGTATTCTAACAAAAATGGGTTATCTTTCTAGCTAAAATCGACCTCTGTTTCATCATCCGAGGCCACCCGGATAAGTTTGTAGACAATTGCACCAAATTAACCTCAGTTTATGCGTGTTGCGGCAAAAGAGGTTATTTTGGTCCAATCAGAGCGAGTGAACGAGTATATCATTGACCGGTCCTCACATAAGCGATAACCAAAGTCAAATAAACTACTCACGGCAGAAAGTCAAACTTCACACACATCGTGGGATCCACCTATGTTTTTCAAATTCCTATAGGAACTCAACAAAAGTTTTGATATATCATCTTTTCAATCAACTCAATCAAATCTTGAGGATCTGAAACGAATCTTGAGGATCTGAAACCGTTCATATGAAACTTCAAAGAGCGAAGAAATGACTCGAATTTTTTTAGGTGGTGTAGGTCCCAGTCTAGTCCTCTCGGAGGGTCAAAGTAGAGAAATCCTAAGGTTAGATCCTAGGGTATTTAAAGAAAGGAAAATGAAGTCCTAAAAATTGAGGTCAACATAAATAACATTATTCAATATTCTTTCCATAAGTTGTGACCGAGTATCAGAACCTGTAGTCTGACCCCGTGATGTAGAAGCATGTGAAGTAGAGGTCGCAGAACTATTGGAGAATCCACCCCTCCAACCAAAAATAGAATGATGTGAATAATTCTTCACATTCACACTAGTAATAGGCTTCAATGGCTGTAAGATATCCTCCCAGCTGTCATATCTAACACCAGCCTGCTCACATAACAAAAAGATCAAGGATGCAAATCCCAAACCTGTGGTAGTAGCAGCGATAGTAGAACTAGTAGTAACTCCATAAATCAGAGCTCCCATATCAAGCGACTTGGATTGCTGAATACAGTAGTTCGAGGTTGCTTTCTCTCGAGTCACAACTGATTTGTAGGAAGCAGAGAAGAAGAAAAAATAATGTCATGTCTTTGCATTAGCGTCCAACTTTGAGGCAGAAAAATTTACTCTTCTTTCATTCGTAATCTTCCATAATCCTCTCCCAGCAGTTAAAGATGATATAATCTCATCTAGCTCCTCCTCAGTAGAACTATATTTTGCCTAAAACACAAAGTACTAGGAGACAAATGATAAAACTGATTAATTACCTCAGGAGAAAATGATACTGTTTTCCCCCTCACTATGACTCCTTCCTCATCAGTCTCGGAGAGATTAACATAAAACTCTCGTATGACAAAAATCACGGCGACATCAAAAAAATAACAGAATCGGTCCCACTAGCGGCTAACAATCAACTCTTCAACAGCTCCTTCTGGAATTTTAAAACATCGCTCAGGAATTAGTTTTCTTGTATGCAGTGCATCGCTATACCTATCCTGAGCTCTCAAACTAATGAATTTACTCGAATCAAACGAAGCTTTCCCCTTGCTTCGTTTTTATCCTCGGTGTCATTTTCTAAAAATTTGTATAAAATTCAAAATAAGTTCGACAATCAACTCCAAATCACTAAACTCAACTTCTAAAAGCTTAAACTAACAAATCTATGCATTTTCCATCAATTTTTCTAAAATTTTCACCATGAATAGTGATTTTTGGGTAGCTCATGAATGCACTCAAAATACATGATGAAAATAAAAAAATTTTGCATAGAAGTGAAGCTCTTACCTTAAGAAGGTCAAATCTAACAATTTCGGCTTGAATCCACCAAGAAATCCTCAAAATAGCTGATGCCCTAGCTCTCTATTCGCGAAAAACCAAGGAGGAAGGCTAGTGAAGGAGAAAAAATGGAGTTTTTCGGACCAAAAATTCACTTAAAACTGTTCGCGAACCGGTTTTCATGAATCGACGCGTAAGCACGAAGGGTTCGGCACTTAGGCACCCTTCTATCTGTTTAGGCACCGCTTAAGCGCGGGTTTTGGTGTTTAGGCGTCAGTGCACAAATTTTGTTTTTTCCATTTAAGTGAAACGCACTCCTAGCCTAAGTCAACCAACCCTCTATGGTCTCAAAACACTGTATATACTATTCTCTTCCTCTTATCTCTTCTCTTACTTAAGTTTCACCAATCTTAGCTAATTCGATTCAACACTAAATAACAAAAAATTTCACACAAACAAAACACTTATATTAAATCACAAACGATTACAAACACTTTTAGAATACATAAATTCACGGTTTTCTCATTTTCTTAAGATGTTGAATCATATTTTCTCTGAGAATTGCACCCAAGGAATGGAGCAATAGAAAAGGAAAAAAAAGAGAGGAAAGAATGCTAAGAGAGCTCATTCATTGAGAGAATTAGTGGAGTTCCAATAGATAATAATCATAATTCATTTGCATTTAATCTCCCCTTCCCCAAGCCCCCTCTCCCTTTATAGGGGCAATTGCTCAACATAAAATAAACATAGGCTATCATTAGGTCTTGATTTCTAGGCCATCTAGCTATCGATTTAGTGATATCATCATTAAAGTCAAGATCTTCGTAAAGATTCCTCTCCAAAGTCAACTATCTACTTAGTTGATGCTGGGGACCTCTGTTTTTATTATTGAAAGTCCATGTACTCGTACTCGGGCATTCATACTCCTCGACACATGCTGAGTTGGCGAGGCTAGGTCACATACCTTGTTCTAACTTTGGGTTAGACCCATTAGCAGACCTGAGTCTGAAAAGGGTCCCATCTAAGTAGATGTTGCTCCTATGGGTATGTATCATCCGCTTTTGGATGTACAATTGAGCTCGATTTAAACTAATAGTTCATAAATATTTATTATATTATATTCTTCCTAAAATAAATTTAATACTCTTACTTTGAAAGAAGAAAAATACTTTATTATGACTAGTTTTTGCTGATTAGCTTTCAAGTGAAGAAATGACGGCCATATTACGCTTTCAGGTGTTTAATGAAAGTAAGATTACATGGAAGGTGGTGTGAGGTTAAGGAAAGTGAACCAGCTGTCTTTTAAAAGCAAATAGTAATAAATGCATTATTAAAAAAATAGACTGTTAATTACATATAATACACCTATTTTCCAACAAATTATACATTCACTTAATTGATATTAAATTTCTTATCCATAAATCAAAACTCTCATTGAATTGTATGATATATATATATATA